GTTCTAAGTATGAGTGGTTTTAAGGATGTAAAACAGACATTTTGACAATGGAACAAGACAATTTACACTTAAAATTACAAAACAAAATTGCATTGCCTTATTTAAAGTGCATATTATCTAATTATCTTATTTTAAGAGTAAAAATACTCATTACGTTGGCAAGCTATCTCATGTACCTACTCAAATTAAGGATAGATGCACTTAATTTAAGGAATTTTTTTACTTATTTCTAGATTGTTTTTCCAGTGTGGCTCAGTGGGAGAACGAATAAAGGCTGGTTAAAAACATCAGCACTGCTTTTCTAAAACATCTACTGACATACAGCATTCTGGTGGTGAGAAGGCGACCGATGTGTCCATTAATTGTTTCCCTGAATGATTTCCAGGACCGTCAAACTATTGGAAGGGCACCAGAGTCAGAGGCTGACATGGTCCCCGAGGGGGAGCTCATCCTTTCCATTAACATCTACTTCCCTGTGAACTTTGATAAAGTGAGTTTTGATCTCCCCGTTTTAAAGTTGTCAAAGTGCCTCCAATCTTCACCGCGTTTTTTTCCTCCTGAGTGTTTTCATCTGTGGAGCTGACCTTTGATTTTAACCCCCCTGCCAGTTTAACTACATGCGACCTCATGTGACGCTGCTGATGAGAGGCTCCCAAACCCTGGCCGAGCTCCGAGACGCCATCTTCTGCGTCAGCGACCTGCAGGTGTGCGGCGAGTTTAGCAACACGCCAGACTTGGCTCCGGACTTCATCTGCAAGGTAAGCCTGCAGCCGCCACAGCACATTTCCCATCATGCACCTGCAGCCGAAGGGCCTGGTCGAGATCACGTTTTCAATATTTTTGCTTCCAGGACCTTTTCAGATCAGCCTTCTTTTTCTTCGAGGGAGTTTTCTACGACGACATGCGGCATCCTGACTGCCAGGACATCAGCAGGTCTGTTTCCAAACTTTCTGTTCAAACTTAAATGTTTGGAAAAAGATGTTTTAGATCTCAATCAACCACAAAAAATGTCAGCTGGAACTTCTGACACACAGTAAACAATAAATTGAGCTCCAAAAATGAACAAAACAAGCAACCACACATAAAAAAGACATAAAAATGCAACAGAAAAATGTTGCAAATAAAAAAAATGCTTCAGTAACAGAAGAAAATGATGCAAAGAGTAAAAACAGCAGCAACTCGCTCCACAAAACGGAAAAACTCTGTACCACTAGAGCAGAGGTCATGGATTAGCGGACCAGATCCGGACCCACTTGCTGGGTAATATGGACCCAACCTGATTTAAAACATTTATAAATTACCGCATGTTGTCAGACGGCGGTGTCTAATCCCACATCCTCCGTCTCCGCCCTGCTCTGATGCAGACCGCCTGTGCAAAGCAAAGCCTACAGCCTCCGCTGCTCCTCCCATCTTGCTCCGCTCCGACTTCCTTGGATACTCAAGGAGAGAATGGGAGATATTATTATTAAATTCAGGAGCAAAACATGTGGAAATGAACGCTGAATTTAATATGATAAATTTAAAAACTCCCCACCATCATCCAGCCAGCATATGTTCAGTTTCTGCCCAAATATTTTCTTTTTGTTGTGGATTTTTGTAACAGGGATAACTAGCATCATCCATGGTTTATATGAACTATGTTTGTTTTCTGCTTCCAAACTCAGCATCTCTTCATCCAGGCCTGAGATGAGAAGTTTCTTTTGAAGTGGTGAGATGCGCTCTTAGAAATTTTGACTGGATTTGATTAAACTTTTAAGCCTCTTAGTATAAAATAAATATTTTGATGGAAATGAGAAATCTGCTTCCTGGTATGTTGAAGTACCAATAGTTTGCATCCAATCATTTAAACAAACGGTCTTAGTTTTTGGGAATATATGAGCTCACCAATGAGCCTGGAATGGCTTTAGAATGGCTTTGTCTCCATTCAAACCCAGGTTTAAAGCCTTGCAGGGCAGCATAAAGCCCACTGCTCTCATTAAGGCAGAAAAAAATAAAATAAAAACAAACGGTCAGCTCAGGTGTTTCATAAAATATGAGAGTCAAGAAATTGTCCATACGATTGTTGATCTCTACTTCAAAAAACACTTTAGATATTCAAATGGAAAAATTTTGAAAATAGTTTTTTATTTAGTCAATGTAAACATGGATGCATAAAAACCTCATTTTATTTTATTGTTAAATTCTGTTTAATGTTACAGATTCTAATTAAAAATATCTCTGGACCTTTAGGGATTGATGACCTTCTTTATCTGGACCCCACAGATTTTTAATTGGTTACCCCCCCACGCTAGAGAAAGTCAAACACAGAAGAACCATATCAGACCACCCCCGCTTTACAACAGGAAAACAGATTAACGCAGGATTTAATAAAGAAAAGAAAGACATTTAGAGGAAGGAAAGATGTTCGTTATTTTTCATTTCATTTTCAAGTGCATAATCTTACATTATTAAAGTAGTTATGCATGGTAACATAAATATGTGTAACCCCCAAATTCCACATCCTCCGCCCCGCCCAGCTGACTTGCGTCATGCGGCGCATCTGTGTCATGTTAATCAATGAGAGCTGTTCCACATCCACCGCTACTCCTCCGCACGTCTCAGTCCATGTACATGTTCTCCGTCCTTCGCCATCAAAATTCGAAGCCAAGCTATTTTTAGTTCCGGTCCGGCCAGGTCACGATCCGCGATTGCAATCGCACTAAAAAGGAAAAGGAACGTCGAGATCCAGTTTGTCAATTTAAAATATAGTAACGACAGATTGGTGACTACAAATTTTAGCATAATTCTTATATATTCCCATAAGCGTAGAACATTTTATTAAATGACTGGATGCAAACTATTGGTACTTCAACATACCAGGAGGCAGATT